CAGGAAAGCCTTGCCAGCTGCAGAAGAAATGGGCCGGCAAGGCAGGTGTCGGGGGTGTGTGAGGCCTGGCTATAACTGTTCAAAGGTAAGTAGTATGGCAGCTCCACCACCCCCATCCTCACCCAACCTTAATTTTTACCCATGCACTCTGGAGTGGGCGGGATCTTAATTAGGGCTTATTTTGGGGGGTAGGTTTTATATTGGGCATATGTGTAAAAATCAAGGTAGGGTTTACTTTTAGGGTAGGTCGTATTTTCAAGGAAACAGAAAAATAGGATTAAACATTTTAATAGAATGAATTGGTTGTATAAGTGTTGGAGGAGCAACAGAGACTTAGAAAACAACCAGTCATGATGAATTTGTACAATGCTGATATCCGCAATCTTCTCCTGCTATCTCCTGTACAGGATTATTTGCAAAAGTCATTGAGACACAAATATTGTTTTCCTTTGTTCTTTCAGTATAAAAACTTGGCTGCAGCATTTCAACCACTGGCAACAAATTTTAGCATGGATGCCGCCTAATAAGCATTGTTCTTCCTTTTAAACATAATTGGACGTCGAAAGAAGGGAGAGAGAGAGAGAGAGAGAGAGAGAAAGAGATTGCAATAAATAGCATTCCCCAATCTGAATAATGTATTCTATGAGCCAAGATAAATTTGGGGACATTTGGTTTAGTTCTAGAAAGACAAAAGGACTTGGTATGATTTTGACAGGAAGAGATAAACAACATCATGCTCTGCATTTTAATATTCAAGATACTCAGGGAATTATCATCAACAAAACAATAAAGGGGAGAAAAAGGAAAACATTTCATACAAATCATCTGGATGTTGAAAGATATCTTGGAAAAGTAGAAAAGGTTCCAATGACTTCAAATATGATGATGGTTACTCATTTAGACAGTTTTAAAAGGAGACTCAGTAAATCCATTGAAGATGGGCTGTTGATCACTATTAGGCATAAATAGCTATTAATGATTATTTATATCTATCATTTATCTATTTACAGTATCTATCCATCTATCTATCCATATCATCTATCTACAATATCTGTCTGTCTATCTATCTATCTATCTATCTATCTATCTATCTATCTATCTATCT